AGTGAGCTGAAACAACAAAATAGTTTGAAGTTGATATCTTTATGGTTGTCGTTTTGTGAGACGTGATTTAAAGAATCTGAATGAAAATCAAAAATCAAATGTATACTATATAAGAAGACGTTAATATTCCTATTCTGTTTGATCTCCGATGGACTGTCAGGGTCTGAGTAAGGTCGTGAAAAGAAGAGAGTGGTATCTTTAAAATCAATCTTTCAAAACCTTTTACTATAGCGGAGTGAAAAAAAGCTTTTTGACAAGTGCTGCTTGAAAATTGGTCTATACTGTTTCCTTAGGGGAAGCCTTTGGCTTTTTCCTGCCAAGCTCAACTTTCCCTTCACCACCTAAGACTTCAGATAACAAGTGGAGAAAAAAAGGGGGTTTGAAATGAGTTAATATGACAGATTTGTTTGCTGTTTTGTACTGTGTGATTCACCCAAATGCATTCAATATCCCAAAAAAGGAAAATGATGATGAATGATGGCTGTGATAAACTGTAATTGTTTTTTTTTTTGTTTTTTTACTTAATTGCTTTGTTCATTTTCAGTGTCTGTTTTAAATGTTCCTCAAGTCAAGTTTAAAATGGAGGTTAAAGTGGTTAAAGGTTGAGGATTGTATTGTTTTTTCCAGTTTAACTGCTGTGAGTTTGTTTAATCCAAAGTGTTTTCACAGCAGTTTCAATTTATTAAACCTGGAGTAATTGGGGTCACTTTAAAACTCCAAAAATGGGGAGATAAAATAAAGAATACAAGGAAATAAGTCAGTTATCTGAGTTCAACCTTGTTGTTCCATGGAGTCACTGTTGATAATTTCTGATAGAATATAAACTATTTGACAGATTCTGCAGAGAGCATTAGCTTGTAGCTAAAGCTGAAACTGAATTGATCTGTGCCTTCTGAAAAGAGAAATAAACTCAACTACACTTGAATTAAAAATAAGTGGGATTACGTACACATAAGATCACATGACCAGATTTGTGGAAAAAGTGAGGACACAGCAGAAAATTGGTATTCAGCTATATGATGAGTAACCATTAAATTATGTAAGGCCATAAAAAAATATCTGTCATAAAGTGAAATATTATATAATCAAAGCCCATTACATTTACTACCTCAGCATTGTTCCTTTTATGCTAAACTGCTCTGTGGTCAGATGGATGAAAATTTAAAATTCTTTTTGGAAATCCTAGATGCAGCTTCCTACAGCCTAAAGACAAGAGGGAGCATCTGGCTTGTTATCAGCACTCTTTCTAAAAGCCTTTATCTCTGAGGGTGTGGGGGTGCTTCTGCGCCTATGGAACTAACATCTGTAAATGCTAAGAGGAATAACCCGTTTTTGGAGCAACATATGCTACCAGATGCCGTCTTTAAAAAAATATTTATTTGCGAATCAACTCTCCAAGTTACAGCCTGTGAAGAAAATAGGAAATTGTTTTAATTCAGAGTGGATGTACGCATCTAAAAAGACAGATGGGTTTGATACTGTATTTGTACAGATGTGGTTATTTGCAATATTAATGCCTGTGTTACTAAACATATTTGTGTGTAGCATGTAGCTTCACGCCCCAGCGTTTCGGTTGATCTATTTTGGGGATTTAATTGGACAAACGCAAATATCTAGCCTGTCTTTGGAGACCATCACCAGCCAAGAATCACATGAGGTCTGATAACCTTTTGTTCACATTTTTAGTGGCCATATGACTCCCATTTGGGTCTGTGTGCAAAAATCCTTAAAGGCTCTTCTTGAGCTGGAGTTGCTCTTTTAAAATGTCCCCGATGAAGAACCTTGAGGATAATAATCGTGTTAAGATTTCAGATGGGATAAATGCCTCCCACCACTTCATCCAATCTTCATGTTTCATGAAAAAGTTATTCTGGGATGGATCTAAATGACAGAGCTTCAAAATCAATGAATGAGTGGCTGACAAGATTAATAAATTAATGCTGTACCTACAGAAATAGCAGGAAATAAAATTGATGGAGATAATTTAGGAATTTAGGATACAGAATTCCTACTTTGACCAAAAAAATTTCACAAATAAACCGAGATTAAAACACGATTTCACTTCTCAATCCATTTCTGACACTACTTCTCTTTGCCAGAGAAAGCTAGCTGCTTTCAGATATCAGAAAACGTCCATCAGGAACCGAAAACAAGAAACGCGACACTCATTCTCAGGCTCAGATCCACATATGGTGTCGGAGGGAAAACACGCGATTGTTTGTGTTCTCGTTGTGTGTTTCTGGCAGAATTTGCTGAGTTTGAGGTCCTGCTGGCTAAATCATTTTTGTTTTGGTTTGTGTAAAAGCCTAAACTGGGGACAGGCATTGAGAATTAGCCTTAGCTAAAATGTTGTAGTGTGTGACATGTTTCATGAAACACACTTGTCCCTATCAAATAAACGAATAAATAAATAAATAAATAAATAAATAAATAAATAAAACAGTTGGTGCATCACGGCCATGTAAGCTAAGTAAAATATGATAAAAATACATTTTTGTGTTTATTTGATTCCTATTCAAGACACTTAAGATAAGATAAGAATAACTATGGTGTTACTATAGGCGACTACAGATTTGTTTGACATTTGCCTCGTGATTTTTTCAATGAAAAAATGTACAGTGGGGGAAATAAGTATTTGACCCCTTGCTGATTTTGCAGGTTTGCCCACTTACAAAGAATGCTTATTTTTCCTCAA